CTATTTTTTGGATGTATTTTAGTACAGGGTCTAACTACACAGATTGGACTCCTAGTGATTCTCCTGTTTTCAGCCTCCCAAGTGCTGGGATTACAGGCATGTGCTACCACACCCAGTCTTTGTCACCTGTCTTAGTGTGCCCCAGGGGCAGGCTGGCATGGACACACTGGGGACCGAACCCATGTTGATGAGCCTGCTGAACCAGGTGCTTTAGTCTGCTGAACAATGTGGCTGCCCCTACTAATACTATTTTTTAATCATTACTGAAAAGAAAATAATTTTCAAAATTATTCAATTTTTGCACTTTAATAATTATTTTACTTTTGATTAATATAAAATCCTATGCATCAAGGAGTTCCATGATATTTCCACACATGCATATAACTGTGTATCCCGCAAATCCAACCATGTTTATATAGCCCCACCTGAAACACATCCTCTGTGGTAGATTACCAACTGTTTGTCAACTTCTTAAAGCCAGCTGAACTGAACTAGTGCCATGCTATGTGTGGGAGACACACCTGAGGATTGTTGCTAGCAGCATAACAGACAGAACTAGAGAAGCTATTCAGAGGCTGTTAGGGAAGGTGTTTGGAGGAGCTGTTGCAGCTGTTGGAAGCTGCTGATTCTTTTGGGCTCTTCTGCTGGAGGACCTTGTCATGCTGGCTTTCCTGATGAGCTTGACTGTTTTCTTCAGAGGAAGAGCTTGGGACTTCACTGTCACTGACAATGGCTGTGGTCCACTGTTGGGAGCTATGGTCCTCACCGTGAGCATTGCTTCTTAGCTCCAGAGGTGACAACGGTACATCTCGGTCTCCTGGAGAAGCTTGTTGCATTGGCTTTCGTGATGGAAACCCAGTACTCATCATCATCGGAGAAGCTCAGGACCTCACTGCTGCTGAGGATGGTGGTACTTGTTGGGAGGAGTTCTGGTTCTTCACTCCTGAATATTGCTTCCTGGCTCCAGTGCAGATCCCTCAGCCTGCTGACACATATTATTCCTCCTGCTGGCGTGGGCTTTCTATCTTCCACCACTAACCTTTGGGCCTTTCCAGCACAG